CCAGCCTCAGCCTCGTTCCCTGGACACCCAGCAGTGCCGTGTCATTCCTTTGCAGGTACAGCGCCCTCCGCTACCTGACCAGCCTCCAAACATCTACCTCTTGTGTCTACGCCTGCACCTCAGGGCGTGGGCTTTTGGCATGCTCAGACAGGGCAGCCCCAGCTTTGCCTCCTGGCTCTGCCGCCCCACAGTTAATATCACCTTGGTGGGGTTACTTAACTCCGCTGAGACCAATGTCCTCATGGGTAAAATGACACATACTGAATACACAGGGTTGCTGTGTTTCGAGTCCGTGTGCGTGAATAAATGCTTTCAGTAAACAGCAGTTTTTAAATGCGAGCTTATGTGTTTGTTGATTAGTCTGTCTCCCAAGCGGGGCTGGGACTGTGGCTTACACGCAGCTCCCAGCACTGCTGTGTTTGTTCGGCACCCGGGAATGTTTATTGAAGCGGAGCCATAGGCCCGCCCTCTCATTTTACAGATAAGGAGCCTAACTGGTCTCAGAGGCAGCAGCAATCTTGCCTGTCTCTGGGTTAAAGCCAGAATGCTTCCTCTGGGTGTCAGTCGTTCCTTTGTGAAATACCAGCTGAGCACTTTCTGATACTCATTGCCAGGCCCTCCCCTAGGCACTGGGTGTGTACTAGTTACTTGGCTAGCAGAGGTTAACCAGTCACACAAATACAAAATTAGCACATTCACAAACGGCATGAAGGGAAAGTAAAAGGTACAGTGCATCCAGCAAAGATTTATTGATTGCCTAGGGGCCGGGTATAGCGCCGTGTACTGGGTCTGCCAGTCTGGGTCCGGGGGCTGCGATGGTGACCTGGGAGTGCTCCTCCGAGAGGGTGACGTTTAAGCTGAGATCTGAAGGATGAATGAGTAGGAGTTGGACAGATGAAGGTAGAAGCTGCAGTGCAAGGCCCTCCTCATTCTAGCAGTATTACTGGCCTGGCTTCAGTGCCCGGCTTCGGCGTCCTCTGCAAACCTCTGCCTTTGTTGCTCTGACTAGTTTTCCTTCAAGCCTTATTACCTAGCTCATATTGTTCCAGTTGTTTCTGATTTCTTATGTGTTCCCAATAAAATAAACACTAAATTCATTAATTTATTTCTCCCACCCTGCCCTTCACAAGAAGTCTCCCTAATTTCCTTTCCCACCGTCTTTAGTAGATGCGTGGCAGCCCATCGAGAGCCCCTTGGAGCTCAGCGCTCCTTTATATGCCAAAGGCTTTCTCCTGCATGCACATGTGCCTGCTTGACACCTCTCTGGGCAGGCGTGCGGGGAGGTAACATGTCTGCCCCGCTCCCTGAAGCCCCCACCCAGTGACTGACAGGCGTTGGTGGATTAATACCCCAGCCCCTGTGCCCTCAGCTGGGACAGCTCTAGGGCAGGAGCTGTAGGGTCTCCTGGAGTCCCCAGCAGACATGAACTCCACTTGGCCATGGCCATAACCTGCTTATTAACATACCCCGCGCTGGCTTCCTTCCCTTCCATATCTCTTCACTTTCCAGTTCTTCCTGGGATTACTTACCAAATAAACTATTTGAATTCAGGTCCTCCAGCTCTGCTTCTGGGGATCCCAAACTTAGATAGAGCGCTGTTTGGGGCTCTCGGTAAATCACACCACGTAGCCCTTGTCCAAACCCTATTAAAACCTGGTGTGTTTTCAAACAGGTGAAAATTCCAAACAGCATTGAAAAGAAAAGGTCCTCACAAAAGGCAAAGGCACGGATTTAATGGAGAGAGGAGAAAAACGAGTCAAGAAGGAGAAAGGAAGTTTGACTCTGCTGCGTGATCTCTTCCCTTACATTATTTAGTCTTCATAGGGAACTACTTTGCAAAATAAATCCCTTTATTCGAGTTCCTGCAGATGAGGAAACCAAGCCCGAGGGATTAAGTAACATGCCCAAGCTTTGTAAACTTGGGCACCAGAGGTGCGTTCCCGCAGTTCTTGCACTCGGGGAGGCCAAGCACCTGGTGTCCTGATGAGCTGACGGGTCGTAGTGCAGTCTCAGCCTACTAGATTCAGAATAACTAAGTGTGTCATCTTTTGCCAGATGAACTGCTAGAATCTGATCTACAGGGCAAGAGGCGACAGAGGTCAGGGAGTTAAGAAGAATTAATGGAAGGAAAACTTAGAAAACACGATCAGCTTTTTTCCAATTTGGGAGGCGGAGCAGGAGCCCTGTTTGAGAGCCTCTGTCCTCTGCCCATGCTGAGCTTGGAGGAGCCTTGTGGTGGTGACGGAGGGTTGCTGCCACACGGAGAAGCTTCCGGGTCCTCTCCAGCTTGCCTCCCCAGGTCATGGTCCAGGGTCAGCAGGGATGATCTGCCTTTATCTGTTTACCCCTCGTTTCAGGGCTACAGTGATTCATTTTGTCTTCCAGAGAGGGTGGGTAGTCATTCATTGAGCAGCTGCGTATCTCCTCATTTTTCAGTAGAGGCCACTTCCTCCAGGAAGGCTTCCCTGATCACTGCTCTACCACCACACCCAGCACAGCACCATGAACCCTGTTGCAGCCCATTATGATACTTTACTGAAATTTCCTGTTTGTTTCTCAAACTCTGAGCTGGCCATCCCTTATGCATCTTCGTAGAACAGACACCTGCATATACTACATGTTCAATAAATATATGCATGGACGAATGTATCAGACATTGAGCTAGTTCATGGAAGTACAAAGATATTTAAAAAAAAAAAAAAATCATTTTTTTGCTCTCCAGAACTCAGGGCCCAGCAGGGGCAGGGGCTAAACAGATAAGTAAGTAAATAATAAAATTGTGGTTAAAAAAAAAAAGTGACTTGTTCTTGGTGATGTCATGGGAAGCCTTCCATAGGCATCAGGGCTTTAATGGCAACTTGATTTTAAATCAGTAGCAGTTGGGGGCAGGCACAGTGTGTAGAGGGCTCCTGAGATGTGGCACAGAACAACTCATTCTGAGAATTACAAGTAGGTCCAAATGGCTGGAACATATCTCTACATAATGACCCGAGAAAAATGAGTGGGGCCCTGACATGAAAGCTTTGAATTTCATGCCTAGCAGTTTAGACTTCAGGCTACATATCTGGGGGCACCACTGAAAGGTTCTAATTGACGGAAGGGCATGATTGTTTTAGAAAGATTGCCCGAGAATACTAACCCGAGGCAGCTTTTCTCCATCAAGTTCTCTGCAGAGCCTGGCACGGTGTACCTGTGCAGTAAATGCTGACACCTTTTAGATGGGGAGGGACGGTGTGTTAGCAATCAGGGATCTCCAGAGACGCCGAAGTAGGGGACGTAGGCAGATTTATTATAAGGAACTGGCTCATCCGGTTATGGAAGCTGAAAAGTCCCAGCATCTGCAGTCCAAAGGCCTGGGAACCAGGAGAGCAGATGGTTAAGTTCCAGTCCAGCTCTGAAGGCAGGAGGAGATCCATGTCCCAGCTCAAATTTTTAAATAATCTTTGTACTTCCATGGGACATGTTCTCCCTTCATCAGCCTTTTGTTCTCATCAGCCTTGGATTGGATGAGATCCACTCTCATTGGGGAAGGGAATCTGCATTTCTCAGTTGATGGACTCAAATGTTCATCTCATGCAGGAACCCCTCACAGACACGCCCAGAATACTGTTGAACTAAACCTCTGAGCACCCCTTGACTCAGTCAGATTGACACGTGAAGTGAACCATCACAGAGGGGAGAGGATAGCACTAGGCTTGGTGTACAAGAGCGATTGGGGGCAGAGGGAGACTGGGAAGATGAGTTACTGAACTCATACTCATTTCCTTCTTGGCCATTGTCCTGTTGTCCTGTTCTTGTAGGTTATTCTGTATGCTCATAACGTAAGAATTCTATTTAGAAATTGCTTTTATAAGACAAAACTGACCTTAATGAATCTACCTTTTTTTCCCCTCCAGTTTTTTATTTTTAACACAGGAGCCTGAGCAGTGCTTTTAGAACTTTCTATGCTCAGAACCCTCTAGTGGTTCCTCATGATGTTGAGCATCACAGCCAGAGTCCTCATCATGATGTAGAAAGTCCTGCATGACCCGGCCCCTCTCACTTCTCTACCTCATCATCCTCTATCATCCCTCTCCTCGCTCTTCTTCTGCACTGGCCTTGCTGTTCCTCAAAACAGACATGCTGTTCCCTGTATCTAGAACATACCCTGGGTACTCATAGGGCTGGCTCCCTCACTTTGTTCGAGCCTTTGCTCGGTGATCACTGTCTCGGAAAGACCTTCCTTGACCTCTTTGTTGAGTTTCTGAACACTGGCCCCTGTACTTCCTCTCCTCTCCTTTACCCTGCTTAATTTTTCTGCATAGCAATAATCCAGTTTTTACATATCATGTAATTTACTTGTTTTTTTATGTGTGATTATTTCCTCCCACCAGAATGTAAGCTCTATGAAGCTAAAGTGCTTTGTCTGTCTTATTTCCTGCTCTCTCCTCAACACCTAAAGTGCTTCATGGCACCATAGTAAGTGGAGAGGTACACGAAAGCACCCTTTGGATATTGTACTTGTAGGCAAGTTGACTTCTGAGTGCTTTCTGTAAATCTGAAAGGAGGAGGAGGAAACTTCATTTGCCTTTTAGATAAGGTCACTACTCAATAAATCCACCACCAAATCCACTTCTGAGAGAAACAAGGCATTTCTTAGTGACCAGAGGCATCATACCTTGGACATCGTTGAACGCTCTCTGAGGGGGTGGGGACTTGGTGTGTACCACCGTTAATATGGGCCTGGCCTAAGGTTGGCTGGCAGGTGCTGAAGACAAAAACGGTATGAAAAAGTATTCTTGGTTTTGTCTTTTCTCCTTTGCTGAGAAAGTGTGGTGCTTACCCCTGGGTACAGAGACCATGAGTGAACAGAAAAACAACTGTGGGATGAGTCATTCGATTCATGTTAAATTCCCCTTTTAAGTTCAATATTGTGTACCCTTGACGAGCATGAAAAGACTGAGTAGACTTGATTGGGTAAAAGAGTGGTGATGAGAAAACACTTTTTTTTTCCCTTAAAGGTGTTTCATGGGACTCACTTCCAGACGAGCTGCTCTTAGGGATCTTTTCCTGTCTGTGCCTCCCTGAACTCCTAAAGGTCTCCAGTGTTTGTAAGAGGTGGTATCACCTAGCGTAAGTATTTTTCACCCCTCTTGGTATATGTGTGAAAGAAGGGGAGAGTTATTTATTTATTCATTTGGGCCTAGTGAAACTAAAAACTAGGAAAAATGTAGGAGCAGAAAGCAAACTAGGTATCTTCGTATTTTTATGAATATTAGGGTGTTCATTTCACAGTGGAAGGGAGGAGTCTCCTGGAGGTGTAACCTTACCCACCTCAGAAAACTTTCTGTATTCATGCGCTTATTGGATTCTGACTCTGCATCTGATACACTAGAAGTGAAGGGGGCTGCAGGGGGCTGCATGAGGGCCTGGCCACTCCCCACACCAGGGTGGGGGGTGGGGGGAGGGGGTTGGGTGCTGAGTGCAATAGGGAGAGCGGTATTCGACCTCAGTGTGAACCCCATCTCTGCCACTTAGCACTCTGTGACCGGGGGACATACTTGACACTTCTGAGCCTCGGTCCACCCCGCCACATATACAATGGAGGTCATAGTATGTTCCAGACAGGGCAGTGATGAGGATGAAATCCGAAGATGCCGGAGTGGTGCCTGGCTCGTGGAAGCGGGCGGCACATGGCCGCCAGTAGTTGTTGATGCCTTTGTTGGTTCGGGGGCACACCTTCAGGTTTGCACAGTGAGCTGCGCATGGAAAGTCCTGGTGCGCTGGAGGCAGTAACAGGCCAGGAGGGGCGGGGTGGGGCAGGCTTTGTTTTTCAGTTGGAACTTTTTCCATCAATTCCACTTGTCACCTCCAGCCAACCACTAGCCATCCTTTGCGCTTGAAGACCATCTGCGTCTCGCCTCCCTCCACGTATCTAGGGCTCTCACTGGGAGATGGCAAGAGCGCCTTCCCCTCCATTCAGGGCTGTGTGGGCAGTAAGACACTGCAAGCATTTCCAGGAGTGGGCTCCTGGCTTAGAAGAGCCCCAGGGGGCGGGAGTATGCACCCGGAATGCAGGAGCGAGTGGTGGGGGAGGTGCGCTGATCGCTCCCGGGTGACCCCATAGTGATTTTCTTTGTCAGCCAGCTGACCTCTTCATGCAGAGTCTATGAATCCTCACATCACTGTCATACAAGTAATAGCCAGCATCTGTGAAGCACGGCCTTCTTAATAATAGAGTTCACGTAATGCCTTGACAATTTCATTACGCAGAATTATTCCAGAGCCCAGCCAGTGGCCTGCTTATTTCAAGCAGTATTAAAAAATACGATTCTAGTAGGCATTTAAAATGTTCCCTCCTGTGGTGGATCTCATGCTTTCTTTTTTTTTGTTAAATTGAATTAATCTGTGGCTGTTAAAGCTACCTTATTGTACTGTTTAGTACATTTTGGTACTTCGTACTTCATTTTTGCTTTAGAAACACTATCCAAAATCTAAGTAACGTTTTTCCTTTCACATTAGTTCATACATATATATATATATATATTTCTGTCCGTGCATACACTTTTTTTTTTTAAGCTTAAAGGGTATTGTAAAACACCCGAACTCCTTTGTAGGGTTCCTTATTTCTCGTAGATATTTGATAGTCATCTCTTAATAATGTAGTTGACCCTTGAACAACATGGGGTTAAGGGGGACTGATCTCCCTGCCCAGTCAAAAATCCACATATGACTTTTAACTCCCCACTTAACTACTAATAGACTGCTGTTGACCGGAAGCGTTACCCATAGTATAAATAGTCAATTAATACATATCTTTTAAGTTATATGTATTATATACTCTTATTCTTACAATAAAGGAAGCAAGAGAGAAGAAAATGTTATTGAGAAAATCATAAGGAAGAAAAAATACATTTATGGTACTGTAAAAAATCTGCATGCAAGTGAACCTGCTCAGTTCAAGCCCATCTGCAAAGATCAGCCATAGCACTAACTTTCCTCCTTTTAGTTGTATTTCCATGTTACTTAGGGTAATTGTGGTAACTCATGTATGCTTTACCAAAACAGCAACTGGGATCATTGAGGCCATTTTGAATCTACCCACCTATTCATTAATTAGTTAAATGATTGGAGCAATCATTTTTAAAATTATCAAATTGTATTGAACACTAAAATTTTATTCTCCAGTTCCAGATCATTATATTGCTAATGATAGCGTTGAACCATCTGAAGGAAATACCTACAGGGGTGGGTGTGGGTGTGTGTGGAGGGGGGTGTGTGTACAGCTGAAGGTGGAAGCTTATCCATGATATGAGCAAGAAATATTCAGTTGTATCCTAAAAAAAATACCATGGCTAGTTGTGTAGTTAGCTCAAAACCAAAGCTTCCTTTAGAATCTGCTCCAAGGTGACTTAGTGGCCAAAGCTTCCTTGTTGAGTAGCAGTGGTGGGGCCCTCCGGTATCCAGTGCCCCCAGCTTACTAACTACCCCTCTTTTCCAGGTTTGACGAGTCTCTGTGGCAGACATTAGACCTCACAGGTAGAAACCTGCACCCAGATGTGATTGGTCGGTTGCTGTCTCGAGGGGTGGTTGCCTTCCGCTGCCCACGATCATTTATGGATCAACCATTGGTTGAACATTTCAGGTAAAAAAGAAAAATCCCCAGAAAAGGTTGTTTGTAAGACTTAAGGTAGAAACAGATGGAAACTTTTTTTTTTTTTTCCTTTCCTGTAACCAGCCTTACGGCCTGTGACGAGTCTATGCAATGGAATGCTAATTGCATTTTGCTGTGCGGTCTTTGTGTTGAAACATGGAACAGGTTTCGGTGATGCCATTCCCACTTTAAGTCAGGGTTACTCTTGGGCTCTTTCAGGGGGTCAGGGATGCACATTTTGCTTCTCAAGTGGGGTCCTCGGAGGATGGGCATCCTGGGTCCCAAGGGGCAGGAGCCATGTGGAGCACTCACTACCAGACTCAAGGCAGCCTCGCTCTTGCCACGCTGCCCATTTCTGATGAAGACAAAGCGTGAGGAGTCTTCTCACTTGAAGCTGTGGGTATCCGATCCTATGGGGGACAAATTTGCAACCTGAGCAAGAATGCCCTCTTTTTGTTCGTTTTGTGGAAGATTTTGAAAGACTACTTCTCTGTTACTGATAGTTTTTGCAGTATGGTTTAGAGCCATCTCAGACTCGAGTGGAATAACTAGGTACTGAACAGAAAAATAAGCTAAGGACAGCAGAGTTAAGGACAAAACCTACATCCCCACTCTGATACTTTCCCCTTCCCTCCATGGCCATATGGCAGCACCCCTCCTCCCCTGGTGGTTATCCTTCTCCCGTGCCTGTTCCTTCTGGGTCCCCTTCACGTGTGCACTTTCCTCTGCTACTCTGGGTTCTGTCCCTGGTCCCTGGCTGCCTTCTCTTGATCCACACACTGTCCTTGGACACACTGTCTTAGACACCCACAGTTGTGCTGGAACTTTCAGATTCTCTTCTCTGGTTCAGCCCTCTCTTTCAAACAAACTCCTGGGCCCAGTTACTTAGAAACTTCCACAACTGCGTTTCTTCCAGGTACCTCAATATAAGCCCTTTACAGCTTGCTCTTCCACTGTCTTTTCTGTTTTAGTAATTTACTCACTCACCTTTGTCAGGAAGATTCATAGGCATAATCTTCTTGTCACCCAGATTCAGCTCATTCTCATGATGCCCACGAATTAATTTCCTAAGTGGGACTATATCGGCAGCACCATCTTGACTTGGCAGAAATCCTCCTGAACATAATTAATTTATTTTTTTTAAAGAATTTATTTATTTGAGAGAGAGTGCGCACACATGAGAAAGCATGGGGGGCGGGGCAGAGAGAGAGGAAGAAGCAGGCTCCCCACTGAGCAGGGAGCCCAAGGAGTGTAATCCCAGGACTCTGGGATCATGACCTGAGCCAAAGGCAGACTCAACCGACTGAGCCACCCGGGCGCCCCCTAAAATCCTAAATTTTAAAATGAACGAGGGGAGGGAGTTATTAGTAGCAATTCATTTTAAGACGGAAACTATACTACTTGAAATGTATATTTAGGGTCATGTTTGTGATTGGCTGCTTATCTGGGGAGGAGATGGGGTTGGATTTGATCTGGAGGTACATGTGTGAGCGACCTTAATGGAGCCTCTCTTTCCCCTCCTCTGTGTCCAGCCCTTTCCGAGTGCAGCACATGGATCTGTCCAACTCTGTTATCGAGGTGTCTACCCTCCATGGCATTCTGTTGCAGTGCTCCAAGTTGCAGAACCTAAGCCTGGAAGGCCTGCAGCTGTCGGATCCCATTGTCAAGTGAGTGGCAGTCAGGAGCATGTGACTAACGCCGTTGTTTTTGTGTGTGTTAACTTTGTTTCCTGAATATAATTGGGGTGCCCTTCTGTCCATATCCAGATGGACTCAGAAAATATCCATGGGGTACCCCAGCTTGTCCAGTACTTTGCAGGACTCGTTCAGGCAACCCAAGTTTGCCTGCTGCCTATATGCATATGCCAGGTTCTAGACATACAAGGATGATGAATAAGGGCATGGGCCCTGCCTCATTCGTGAGAGAGACAGATAATTACAGTGCACTGTGTTTGTTATATGTGGCGTCACCCAGAGAGACCTAATTAAATTGAGGGAGGGCAGCCTTCTTAGAGGAAGTGACTCTCATGCAGAGTATTGAAGGTATTCAGGTTGGAGAGCTCCACGTGGTGAGGTAAAGAAGCCGACGAGGTAAAGCTGCCTGTGTGGGTCTAAACGCTGTAGCAGGTGAGAACTGTTAGGGCACAGGGTGCACTGAGATGCCAGGAGGGGAGGAGCGGCTCGTAATGGGCCCCTGCCACGCTGTAGGAAGTCCGGACTCCACAGTGGGCTTGGAAGAGGGAAGCGTGCTAAAGAGAGTGGTCCTAAGAATGGAGAGAATGTGCAGAGTTGAAATTTAGAAATAAAATCTGCTGGTCACCTTGGAGTGTTAACCAGATGTGGAAAAAACTGGACTAGTTAAGATACCGTTGTGTTCATTCAGGTGAGAAATGATGAAACCTGATGTAAAAAAAACCCAGCATCATCATAATTATAATAAGTACCAGCGTTTATTGAGCACTTCCTATGTGCCAGATACTCAGTTCTTCAAAGGTCAGCCACAACGTAAGTTCTGATTGTTCCCCTTTTTACAGATATGGAAACTGAGGCACAGAGGCTGAATAACTTGTCCAAGGTCACACAGCTTGTAGGTGGCAGAACCAAGATTGGAACTTGGCAATAGAATATGGTTCCAGAACTCTCGCTCTTAATCAGGGAGTCCCACTAACACAGGCATTTGGGAATGTAGAGAGGTCAAATTTGAGAGATGTTTAATTGGAGGAACCTGGAGACTCAACAAGTAGAAGTAGGCCTACCGGCTAATTCTAATTATGGGTGAAATAGAAATAATGTTTATTCAGGCACTCTCTTTTCAATTTAAAACTTACATTCTTGGTGTTTCTTGTGTGCTTACTTTGGGCTAGGCACTGTGCTGAGCCCTTTATCACATTATATAATTTAATCGTGACAACCGTACCGAGAAGGTACTGACTCTGCAATTTCACAGATGAGTAAACTGAGGCAAAGCATCCTGCTTGGTGTCATACAGAGAGTGAGACATGAACTGAAACTCACTTCTGGCTCGAAGGCCTGCGTGCTTATCTACTGACTTCTCTAGCCTGCTTTCCTCAGAACGCTTATTGAGTAACAGTGTCTTATTGGTATTCCTCTGACATTTTCTTCTTTTTCCAGTAATCTTGCACAAAACTCAAATTTAGTGCGCCTGAATCTTTCTGGGTGTTCTGGGTTCTCCGAATCTGCCCTGAAGACCTTGCTGAGCAGCTGTTCCAGGTAGGAAAGATTTGAAACTTGATTATAGAACTGTTTTTGCAAATATACAATTATCCCCCACAGGAGCGAGGAATTGGATCTATTTCTTGAGCTATTCCTAACTCTGAGCTCTTGATGATACGCAGTATCCTTTACCCTCTAAACTTTCTATTCAAACTGAGGAGCCAGATCAGTTAGGTTTGCAGAAGACTTGTGTAGTAATCCTCCCCACCCTTTTTTTTTACTATGAAAGTAAGAAAAATTTGGTAATGTGTTTATCGAAATTAATCTGTTTATACCTGACTATAAGGCTTTTTTCCTGTAGTATCTGTAGACCTAACTTATGCAGACACCATAAATTTGGGTGACTCCATTAAAAACATCTTTATATCATGTAATAATGTCAGGATATAAATAAAGGTTACAGTTACAGATATTAGTAAGAGGAGGACGTGGCTCACAAAATACTCTGTGTGTGTGTGCGTCCTTTTTAATATCCCTTGATCTTTCTGCTCTAGCATTTTACCTGTGTCGCTAAGGATCTGCTCAAAGTAGATTGCCTTTGGATAAGGGTGTTATCCGTGAGGTAAAAATGTATAACCCTACATGTATTCAGCAATGTCAGGAATGGGGTGTGTGGCTTAATCGTTGGATATTGTCTTTGAATTCATTTGCTCAGTCAGCAGAAGCCAGATAAGATGAAGTGGCCTTTTGCAACGTCAGCGTCTCTTTATTGAGAATCCCCGGTATAACCCATCGAATTTTTAAAGCCTCTCGAGTGATTGTTCAGTCTCTGTGGTTGTTTGCTGACAACCTGGGTGGTTGAGAAAGAAAACAAGAGGCTAGAACTGTTCCATCTAGTCCCGTAATGAGGTTTGAGCCATGAGGAGGAGAGGAGAGTGTTCCCTCCATTTCCAGAAGGGGGCATCACTCACTAAGACGTGGGCTCGGATCCCCTGGCAACTTTCTAGGGCACACCAGGGCAGGGGATTTGTGTCAGGAGGGGAGAAGGCAGTTTCAGGTGAGCAGAGGTAGCTGCTTAGAGAAGCAGAGGTTCTATGCGTGAAATGGTAAGGAATCTGTGGCTTTGTGTTTTCTTTGCATCTTTGAGACTGTGCTTCTTAGAGCTCGTTCCTGTGTCCTGGTTTCATGCTTTCCCTATTTCTCCTCTGGTGTGCAGATTGGATGAGCTGAACCTGTCCTGGTGTTACGACTTCACCGAAAAGCATGTGCAGGTGGCTGTCGCGCATGTGTCTGAGACCATCACCCAGCTCAATCTCAGCGGCTATCGAAAGAATCTGCAGAGATCAGGTAAGCCCCTCCGGGCCCTGGACCCTTCCCAGCAACCATGGCATTAGTAGGTTTGATTTCTTGAAGAGCTCCTAAGAACTCTTGAAGAGCATCATTTGTCGCATGTAATCCAGTGCACCTGTTCTTAGTCCCATTTTTCAGGTGAGGTCGCAGCTGATCGGAAAGGGTAGGTAAAGGCAAACAGCTGGTGGGGTAGCATCAAGATCGGAATCCAGAATCTCGAAGTGGAAACCTTTATACTTGAAACCAGTTTATTTCTAAGCAGAACGTCTTTTAATCCGCTAAACTAGTAGGTACGACCTGCAACAGAAAATAGATGAATGCCGTGTTGGTCAGTATGAAGCAGTGGTTCTCAACAAGGGGCAATTTGCCCACCCGGGGACATTTGGGGAGGTCTGGAGACCTTTCTGATTGCCATAGCCGCGGGGGTGTTCCTGGCAGCTAGTGGGCAGAAGCCGGGAATGCTGGTGAGCAGAGTGCCCAGGACAGCAGCAGAAGAACACAAAAAGATAATCTGATCCAAAATGTCAGTAGTGCCAGGGTTGAAACCCTGTTATAAACTCTGTTTATAGGTTTATATTTACAGCTCTTTTTAATTCAACGTAAGAGGACGATGAGGTTGTCTAGTTGAACACGGGCATTTGAAGTGAGGGGTAATGCGTGAACATTAACAGTCTTCATGAGCCTCGACGTTCATTCATGCTTTGATTTAATTGTCTAATATTGGCGGAATCCTGATCGGCAGAGAGAAGTGTTTGCAAATGGCAGGGATTCTTTTGGATGGCTTCCCCTCTCGATCCCAGGCCGTGGGCTACACAGAGCCTCGCTGAGCTACCACACCTCAGCCGTATCTTCACGACTTGATGTTGGCTCATGAAAGTGCTTCGTTTTTATAGTTTTTATGATACTTTAAAAGATTTGAATCAAGCATTTGCAGAGTGTGTCTTCTTAGAATTTAAGTAGTAGTTGAAAACTGCTTCTCCAGAACAGGATGTGCCTCTGCCAAGTAAGGTGTATCAGGCTATTGAAAAGAGGAGCTGGGTTCTTGGGGGCGTCCAGGCGGTTGGGGCCTTTGGCTGTGCTCGAGTCCGGATGCCTGCATCTTCAGGCGAGAATTTTTTTTTTCAACAGCCATGACAGCAGCAGTGTGTCTCTCTTCCCACTCTCCTATACACACAATATTTGTGTTCTGCAATTTTTTCCCCTTTAAACATTGTTTGATATCTGATGACAGTATTATATAGTCATTCTCAAAAATACATAAAATATGGAAAAATACCAAGAAAAACAAAACATCAGTAATCTCACTAACCTCTTGCTGGTCTTTTTCCTGCATAAAATTGTTTTTTAAAGTGGGACATAGTGCATGAAATACTTTGTAGTATGCTTCCCCCTCCCCGCCCCGGTAATCCCATTTTTAGTAGTTACACCACATCATTTTCAGTGGCTATGTGGTATTCCATGAAATAGATATGGAATAATTTGTATCGATTCAATAATAATTTTTTTCACTTGATCTCCTTGTAATGGACTTTTAGAGTCTTTCCAGTTTTTTTCCTTTTGTAAACAACCTTGTCACGGACAGAGACAAATCTTGGAGTGCATTTCTCAGGGTGGATTCTTAAAAGTGGAATTGCCGAGTCAAGGATTAGGCTCTGTTCTTAAGCTTTGGGTCGTTCTTGCCAAATTGCCTTCCAAGGATTTTCAGCTCCTACCAGCGAGCAGCCTCTTCACATCAAATCCCACCACTGGTTCTTCCCTGTTCATCCCCAAGCTGAGAAAAGGCAGTGCCTCATTGACATTTCCTTCCCATATCTGAATTTCCCATTTCTTTATTGAGAGTTTTTCTGAATGAAACAGAGCTCTAGGTGCAAGGTTGAGAGACTCTGCTGTAGGCAGGCTGCTGTTAATCTGTCCAAGTTTGGCTTAAAACTCTTCTCTTTGTTCCTCCAGAAAAGAATAGAGAGCCTGTTTACCAAGCTCTGGCAAGAATAACAGGTAATCAAATCCTGCTTGCTGGACACATTCAGGGCAAGGGCTAAGATCTGGAGTTTAAGTTGGAGTGTGTGTATTCTTAGTTATACAGTGGGCATTGGAGATTTTTTTAATGTCTTTAACAGTGGCACCCACTTCTTCACTATTTAGAAGATAATACGAATGTCCTTTTAGCTCTTAGACTGGTGCCAGTCCGCCCGGTTCAAGTTCCTGTTCTGCCGTTTACTCGGTAGTTTTGAGCAAGTTGCTATACTTCCCTGTTCCTCAGTTTCCTCATCAGTAAAACGGAGATAGGAGTGGAAGCCATCTCTTAGAGTGGTAGTAAGGAGGAAGTGGGTGAATCCCATGGAGCGCGTTAACCCTAGTGAGTGTGCAGTGATCATCCCTGTTATTTTTGCCAGCCCCATGGGGCAGTCGGGAAGCACAGTCAGGGTCCTGGAGGACCAGCTCTTGGTCTTGGATTTGACATCGCCTCCCTCCTTAAAATGACAGGTTAGATTTGGGGGTTTGTAAGATGCCTTGTGTCTCGGGTAGATCTCCAGCTTGTGGCAAAATGAAGGGGACAGTGTGTAGAGGGACTCTTAGCAGTGACTACTGTTTACTACCCCTTTCCACTGAGGGATGCCAGGGCTCAAATGAGGGCTGGAGACTGACCAGTTCTACCCCCCAAGGTTTTGTTCTTTCCTAGGTGGCATCGAAATGAGATTGGATCTGACTGGGGATTTGGGAGATGGCTGGTGGGCTGGCTAGGTAATGGGTCACTCAAAATTGTACTGTGCACTTCTTCGTTTTTTAGTCACTCATTAAACCAATGTTTATTGAGCACCTACGATGCACAAAGCCCTATTCCCGACTTGGGAGCTGTGGCCTTGAACAAAACCAGTGAAGTCACCGCTGTGCAGCTTACACACAGGGTAACACACAGCGGGCAGGGATCCAGGCAACCCACAAATAACCAAATGTGATGAAAGGAGGTGAAATGCAGGGAGGAAAAATGGAGCAGAGAGACCAGGCAGAGTATTGGCCAGAGGGGGACTGTTTTCAGATGGAATGGCCAAAGAGAGGGCCTCTCCCCAGAAGTGACACCTGAGCAGAGGCCTGACTGAGTGAAGGTGTGAGCTGTACAGATAAGTGAGGAAAGAACGTTCTGGAACTGGGACCAGCAAGTGCAAAGGCCTTGACATGGGAGCCATTGAGAGCGGGAACAAGAAGCACAGTAATAGGAGGTAAGATAGCCTAGGATTCTCTAAGCCAAGGCAGAAGCTTTCGTCGGATTTTCTCTGAGTGAGATGAGAAGCCACGGTAGCATTTTGAGCAGGAAATGATAGGATCTGACTCCCCTTTAAAAGTCGTCTTCGAGTGCTGTGTTGAGAAAAGGCTGTAAGAGACTCGGGGGGTGACACGGGACATGGTAAGAAATGATCGGACATTACAAGCCAACAGACTGGATGTGGGATGTGAGAGAACAGTTGAGTGTGCCTCCCAGGGTTTCGGCCTGAGCAGCTGGATCAGTGACATTAGCACTTTCTTAGAGACAGGGAAGGACCAGATTTAGAAGAGAAATGAAATACTTGTTTTTAGGCATGAATTTGAGCTGCCTGTCCCACATCGCAGTGGATGTGTTGAGGAGCCAGTTTAAAATGCAAGTCTAGGATCCAGGGGAGGGAATGGGGCTGAAGACAGAACTGTGGGAAGAAAAAACCCCAACCGTGAATGAAGCTTGTTTATTTTTAAAAATAAATAACATTGGGGCGCCTGGGTGGCTCAGTCGTTAAGCGTCTGCCTTCGGCTCAGGTCATGATCCCAGGGTCCTGGGATCGAGCCCCACATCGGGCTCCCTGCTCGGCGGGAAGCCTGCTTCTCCCTCTCCCACTCCCCCTGCTTGTGTTCCCTCTCTCGTTGTCTCTCTCTCTCTGTCAAATGAATAAATAAAATCTTTAAAAAATAAAAATATAAATAAATAAATAAAAATAAATAACATTTATTGATTGATTTTCTTTTTTTTAAGAGAGCGCGGGGGCGGGGAGGGGGGCGTCCTTGACCTCACGACCCTGAGGTCATGACCTGAGCCAAAATCAAGAGTCGGACGCTTAACCAACTGAGCCACCCAGGCGCCCCTATTGATTCATTTTCTGAATACAAAGTAGCACATGTGACTCTTCAAATTCTGAAAAGTTACCTTGTAATCCTACCACCCTTGGATGTATTTCCGTCCAACCTTCCCCTCCTACCCCCAACCCTATGAACCTTTTTTCTCTCTGTGAGTTTGTATATAAATATGAGTTTTTGAGTGTATTTTTACTAAATTGAGATTATAGTGCATTGTATATATTTTGTTTTCACTATACAGTATATCTTGAGTACTTTTTCATGTCATGAAATGCTATTTAAAAGCTTTAGAGTAACTGCCATTGGTATTGTGTTCCACAGAATGGGTGGAGGTTAATGAATTGAAATAATTGGGGAAGGGGCTATTTTAACTATTGCTAAAATGAGTATCTTCATGCACACCTCATTGTTTTTCTTTTTTTTTTTTAAGATTTTATTTTTATTATTTATTTGACAGAGAGAGACAGCAAGAGAGGGAACACAAGCAGGGGGAGTGGGAGAGGGAGAAGCAGGCTCCCTGCAGAGTGGGGAGCCCGACGCAGGACTCGATCCCAGGACCCCGGGATCATGACCTGAGCCGAAGGCAGTTCCTTAACCGACTGAGCCACCCAGGCGCCCACACCTCATTGTTTTTCTAAAAGTGGAATTACTGAGTCAAAGAGTCAAGTGTAAAATGCTCAGAACACATCAAAAAATCAGTTCACCCCCCCCAAAAAATCAGTTTGCTCCCCTGAAAGGCTACATAAAATTAAATATGCATTTGTAGTATATGTGGGACATGCTTTATTATATTTCATCAATTCTGGATATTATGATAGAATTTTTTTTCATTTGATAACTGAAAAGCAATATTTTAATTTTATTTTGCCTTTCTTGCTCCATATTTCTCTGTTTGGCCAAGTATCACATCATATTCTTTGCCCATTTTCTATGTTTATCTTTCTTTACTCTTCATATAAGACCATTAACTCTCTGTTTAATGTATGTTGGAAACATTCCCAGTTTTCTGATACTTCTTTAATTTTATGTTTTGTTTTTGCTTTGGCATGGTAGACTTAAAATTTTTATGTAGTAAATTATCAGTGTTTTTGTGTTTTCCTTTGTGTTTAGAAAATCCTTACTTATCCCAAGATCCAATGAATAATTACCCTATATTTTTTGCATTTTAGGACTTCATAATATACGTGGAATTTATTTGGAGATATTATTTGAGTTGGAGAAACAAGTTTCTTTCTGCTTATAGTAGCAATGTCATTTTTAAAAATAATCCATGATTTCCCCCATTGATTTTAAGTGCTACCTTTATAATACAATATTTGTTTATAGATGATGGTGTTTGGTTTTGCATTTTGCTAGTGTGAGTAGGATTTTTTTTTTTTCCTTTTTCCCCCAGCTAGGTATTGCAGATACACAGATAAGCTATGGATTGTTATTAACTTATCATATTACATAGTTCTCTTACTGTTCCCAGTTGATTCTCTTGGATTTTCTGGGTTCAAAATTTTATATGCCAAGATGGTGATTTTGTGTTTTATTTCTAATAGGGTGACTCTAATTGCATTCATTGTTCCAAGCTTCTAGCACAAAGTTAAATGATGGCATTGATAGCAGATACCCTTGTCTTGTTCTTCATTTAATAGTGACCATCATTTTTTTCCCTAGATGTCTCTACTTTAGTTGGAAGATGCCCCAATCTTGTCCACCTAGACTTAAGGTATTTTTTTTTCATTTATTTATTTTAAAACAAAAATTGAAAAATCATGACTGCTCACTTTTCCTCACTGAAGGAGGAAAGCATCTTAACATGTTGAATTGAAGGAACCAAGCGGTTGGTTATTTCTGTTTTCTCCATCTGAACTGATGCATAGGTTTTGAATCTTCTCTTCTGCTCTGTTCCAGCGATAGTGTCATGCTGAAGAACGACTGCTTTCCAGAATTTTACCAGCTCAACTACCTCCAACATCTCTCACTCAGTCGGTGCTATGATATAATACCTGAAACTTTACTGTAAGTATTTCATTTTCTAGAAGTAGGAGAAGACAGGGGAAAAAAGAGATGTCACTTGGTGTTAATATCTGTTATTATTAATAGCAGATGCTTAAAACTGGAACATCTGGAGGGGAGGTGGGTGAGGGACTGGGGTCACTGGGTGACGGGCATTAAGGGGGGCACATGATGTGATGAGTGCTGGGCGTTGTATGCAACTGATGAATCACTGAACTCCACGTTGAAACTAATGATGTACTATATGTTGGCTAATTGAATTTAAATTAAAAAATAATTAAAACGTGAACATCAATATTGGTGTACCACAAATAGGTTAGGGAAGTCCAGCAAAACAGAAAAACCAAGGTAAAAGTTCTTTGCTTAAAAATATCTTGGAAAGTTGACTGGGATAGTTTACTAAACATTTATTATTTAGCTAGAAGCAGGTTTAAATATTAGAATACCATACTCCAGTATTTGGAAGACTTGCAAAAGGAGAAGACCACTTTTACCTCCAGGGAGCTCAGAGTATAAATGGGGAGGCAGACCCAATGGGGGCTTCCCCTCCTGCCCCACATTTTTCAAATCAACTCCAGTTGATTCTGAAGGGCTCCCTCTGGGCTGAGAGGAAAGTTCTGTAATCTTCTAGAAATGTCTATCCTGGACGGTGGTCAAAGAATGGGAAGAATGGCATCATGTAATGGTAAATGTCATGAGTCCAGTGCTGTCTTGGAATGGGGGAGACTGAAGTCCAAAAGAGTGAAGTGACTTAATCTGAAGCTATAAAGTAAGTTAATGGCTGAGCTAGGTCTGCATCCTAGGTTTTCTGGACAGATGAAAATAGTCTGTAGCTAATCCGGTAGCTCTTATGAGGGTTAATTTTATACCTGCTCAGCAACTTTTCACCAAATCAAGGGAGTGCAAAAAGGAGTCTGGTCTTTCTTTTAGAAGGTGCTATTCCCAAGTCATCCTAGGAATAACGCTGTCTATTTATTTTCCTTTCTTTTATCCCCAACGGGCTGGAAAATCCTTCCTCGTGTAGGATGTAAATGTATAGCAGTTTTATTGAAAACAACAAGAAGTCAGTATCTTGAATTTGGCCAGGTGCCGTTCTTATTCCAGCCAGTATGCCCTGATTGAGGCTGCTGCCTTCTTGTAGCCCACTCCCCAAATGAAGGGGATTTAGCTTCTGGTTCCTACCAAAGAAGGGTGGTGAATTTGAACAAAGAATTTAGTCCTTGAATGATTGGTTTGGATCTTCTAAGTTAGTTTCAAGAACTAATAAATCAGATACTTAAGCTATACAGGGTTAACTAGTAGAATTAGAGATAGAGAATCCAGTAATAACATTTTTAATTAATCACTTTAATTAATCTTGGGGCTCAGGGGCTCAGCCAGTATCTCATTTGAAAAAGCACTGCCTAAAAGGGACGCCAGTTTTTGCTTCCATGGCTCTTAGACGGTAGGGTGTGAATGCATATACATGGAACCCTTATTAAAATCTTGTGCCCTCTAGTATCCAGAACTCCTAGGAGCCTCTGACGTCCACCAAGAAAGGCGTCTCTGTCATCCGTCTTTCCTGTCCTTGCCATCTAGGCTTCATTACCTGTGCAGCCCCTGGGGACTACAGTGATCAGTCTTTTTCAGTCGCTTTTCTCAAGAGAATCTGTCCCCATGTCTCACTTCTTTCTCTCCAGATAAAGAAGCTAAGCAGTAATCCCCAAATGTTTTTTCTTGAGCAGAGGCTAAGGGAAGGCTGTGAGCTCTCACAGTTTTAATATCTTTATCCAGTAGGATAATAACACTTATGGAGTCCTACCTGCAGGCAGTGTGAGTTGGTGGTGGACCTCAAGTCACCTATGTTTGAACCCTTACTGCCTTGTTGTGACTTGTCTAAACCTTATCTTGAAATAAGAGAAACAGGCATCAAGAGTTTAGTTACAGACCACCAAAAAAGAATGCAAACAGGGGAAAAAAGATGCTCTCCTTGTACTTTAATGTAAAAGAGTATGTTTCTTCAGGCATTATGTAAGTAGTACACTAGTTAACCTCATGAATCCATGAAGATGAGTTTGCCTACACCCTATCCTTAGAAGTTTTGTAAGATAAAGTGTTATTTTCTCTAACTCCATTCTGGCAGCTGATGTACTCGAAATTCATAGTAAGAATTCTAAGATCCTCAGTAGTAATTTTGAGAAAGCCATTTATGCTAAAGAATTTTTATTTCTCAGAAGTGGGAAAATAAAATTTGAGCGACTTTCTTCTGTAATACTAGTGCTTTAGAATACTTGGGAAACTCCAGGTTTTTCTTCTACAGGATACATCCGCATTGTATCTGTTTCCTTCAGCCTGAATTGATCTTATTCCTTATGTCCAAACTTTCTTCTGATTATTCCATATCTCTCGTTCAAGTAAGAAAGCCACACTGGAGGTAATAAACTGATCTGAGATTAGGAGAGACTAAATAAAAAGTCTGTGGTAGGAGAATTTGTAGTTAAGCATTTATAAGATTTTATAAGGAAAACAGGATTGTGTAGTTGAGGTAAGGTGTGAACCTGTGAAAGGGTCTATAAATATCTTTTGTTTACTCAGATGAAACAGAGATACACAAGACATTATCAGTGTCCTTTTATACTACTTAAATTGGAAATAGTGGCTCTTCAACTGTTCATTGCTATTTACTGTCCTTTGGTTGCTCTTCAGTCTAAAGAGATGCTTATAAATTTGTTCTGTTGTGTTGTAGATGACACATGTACTAAGGGGCTTTCAGTGTTTTTTTTTGTTTTGTCTCCTTCAACTTTTAAAGGACTTTCTGGCTTTTTGATTCAGATCGCGCACCATCCCATGGTATGCAGCTCACTCCTTTCTCACCTAGGACACCTCAGTGTCTTCTGAGAGTGTTGCTGTCATTTCCTTACGCCCACCAAGGCTCCTTCCTAACGCTGTTGTGAGAACATTTCTTCTGCTCTATCTGCTGTATATCCTTTCCTCACTCCCACCTACAGTGTCTGCTTCTCGTACTGCCTGATACTCTCCACCGTAGGATGACTTACAGTTTGGCTGATTCAGATATCCCAGCACCCAGATTCTCATTACAAAGTCCTCAAATACTCAGATTTCACATAAGAGGGAGTTAAGGTTGGGGCAGAATTGCTGTCATCTTAAGTGATGTTGAATATAAACATCTGTGTGCTGCGACCTTTCTTTGCACTCCTGTTTCTGTATTCCAGAGGTTAGTTTACTTTAAGAAGAATAGTACTTTGTTTTTCCTGATTTTCTTTTTTTGTCTGTTGTAACCTCCAGCTCTTATTGTCCTTTTATGAACACCAAGCATATTTATTTTACTTAGATAGTACTTTTATTTTTTAAATTACCCTTTATCTTTCTTCAGCTAACATGTATTAAACATCTGTGGTGTTTAATACACTTGTTGAATGTGGAATAAGTACATTTGGGGGGTAGTGGGGTGACTGGGAGAGTGGGTTGAACGTGGAGAGTCCTAAGGCCAACAGAACAGTTTGAGTTCCGTAAACACGAGGGCTGCATCAAAGGCCTGGGGGCAGAGGGGGTGGAGGGGTGACATAAGCTGAGCTAGGCTTTAGGAAGATGCCTTGGACATTGGTATATAGAATAGGCTGGCAGGAAGAGAGATTGGAGGCCAGGTAACTGTTACTATGAGGAAAGTTTGGGGGGTTTTTTTAGTAATTATTGGCAATATGAAAATATAAAGGATGCTTCTAACGCCAGGTCATTGATGTGTTCATTGATCTGCAGTGGGATTTTGTTGATATTCCAAACTAAATATTCCCTTTCCTAAGACTTTGTACTGTGTGTCCCAACCTGGAGCAAATACAGATCAGAGAGATGAATTTCTAAGCACATAGATCTGAGTAAAAGAAGAAAGAATCATTACCAAAAGTATTTACTTTGGGGAAACAGGCTCCCTTTTTTGTGGACCGGAATGTCACTGTTGACAGAGTCGTATTTCACTTAATGGGAAATAGCTGAGAAGAGGATTGGCATATACGTGACCCCCCCCACCCAAAAGTAATATGTTGAGAAGTCAGATGGCTTTTGCCTCTCGTATAAAAGGTGTGACCAATTACTCCTTTTCTCCATCTGCACCCAACTACATAGCCCTATCTGAAGTACCTTAGCAAAGTTGCTGTTAGGTTTTATCACAGGTAATGGACTTATTAAGAAGTTACCTTAACTTCTGCAGCTCATCTTTTGAGAGGAGGAAACTAGTTCAAATAAAGGTCAAGTCCATGCTTTGAAATTACATGTAACCTGTGATGATTCTTTACCATCACTAGCTTCTAGCTTCTCACCACACAGTAACTCCTCTCAATTTAAATCAAGAATGGAGAAGGGAAACAACTATGGTTGGATTTTAAATAAACCTCAGCGTGTTTAGGTGGTGAGAAAACATTTAACAAAATGTGCCTGCGTGGGTCCTAAGGCCATGTTGTCCAAGCTGTGGTCCGTGCTTTCTGGTTTGACTCACCTTTGCTATTTTCTCAGATCATTGATTGTAAATTCTGTTTTCAGTTTGCATTCTATAGACTAGGATACAAATGGTCAAAATTGGGTCATATAACTCTAGTGGATCAGTCACCATAGATACTGCTACTCTGAAAGGTCTCTCTCCTTTCCAGTGAACTTGGAGAAATTCCCACACTAAAAACACTACAAGTTTTTGGAATCGTGCCAGACGGTACCCTTCAACTGTTAAAAGAAGCCCTTCCTCATCTACAGATTAATAGCTCCCATTTCACCAGCATCGCCAGGCCAACCACGGGCAACAAAAAGAACCAGGAGATATGGGGCATCAGATGCCGGCTGACGCTGCAGAAGCCCAGTTGTCTATGAAGTATTTATTGCGGGATGGTGTCCCCTCTTTTCTTTGGAACAGGGAAAATAGGCAGGAAGCCCGCCTGCTGGAGCACTCAGCTATTTTTATTCTTGGTTTTCCCTTTGCCTTCTTTCTGCAAGTATATTAGATGACCATTTGAGAGCGAAAACTATGAAGTTTTGCTTTTTCTAAATAACCAGAAAAGGTCTGGTCACTGCTTCTAGTGCACTTAAGAGCCTAAGTTTAAGGCCTTTTGGAATTTTAGGAGAGCCTATTAATTTCAGGATACCTTAAACAGCAAGATTTGAGCCACCTTTCAAGTGCCCTTCTTATTCAATCTATTTAGAATCAAGCGTAAGAATCATGACCAGCAAATCATTTTCATGATCTATATGGTAACTTTCTTCTATTTAATTTCTCAGTATTGCTTTATGAGACGTAGATTGGTAGAAGTATTTGTATTGTGAACGGAACAAAAGGAGAATCTAGGATAGTAGCATTTTGGCAATCTCTTCTGGAGAGCGAAAAATAGGCCTTTCACCTTTGCCTTTAGGTTTGAAATTAGGTTCATGGAAACAAAAAACCTAAATGAAAAACAACTAACCAATCAGCGGTAAAGAATTGGTACAGCTTTTGAAGGCTCAAGAGGCAATTTTCTATGACGGGTTAATCTGAAGTATCGAAGTTTCCTTCATGTCCTGTGCTCCCAGAATTCCGAATTAGCTGAGGAAACATAACTCTGGTCTTCTGACTTTATGATCAAATGATGTTAACGTGGGTTCTTTAGCTTTTAAGATGACTCGCTGTGTTTTAGAAAGGTGGTAGTAGCCAGTCTTTATTCTTGAAATGTTGGCTGGAATGCCAAACTGAAGGTGCCTGCCATTTTCCTTTATTGCCAAGGTTCTTCAAGTTATTTTTATGTTACTCTGGAATCAAGTATTTTAAATTGCCTTCTTAAAAAAAAAAAATTGTCTCCCACAATAATTGTTTGAAAGTCATTGTTGTCTAAAGCTCTTGGACCTAGAGTTCCCTGAGAACTACGTGTTCGTTGACTCAGAAATACACCCTCGAAGTAGGTTCGAGTTCCAAAGCAGTAAAAAACAACTTGAAACTACATAAAAGTTAAGACTCAGGTGTGGAATCTTTGGATAGCAACAGTGATTTTTTTTTTTTAATGGTGTCTAGAAGAAAACGGATTAAATTCTACTTAAAAAAAAAAAACACTAATTTCTTTAAATTGATGACCTTCCCATAGGTTCAAAATGGAACAAAAAGAGCTAAAACCTGTTATTTCTATTAACATTGTTTTTAAATCAGACTTTTCAAATGTTAGAAACAACGATATGAAGTGCCCTGATCTGCTCAGACCTAAGGAAGAACATTTTAAAGTGGCGTTATATGGGAAATGATTATGTTTCAATTTTGTGCTAGTTAAAAAGTGCTAAATATAGTACATGAAATTATTGTTTACAGATTAGTGATGGGGCTGATAGTAGGATCCATTTGGACTGTGATTTCCAGATGCCCTCAAACATACAGTACTTCCAAACTCAAGTCTAGCCATAAGCTATTTTGCTAACATGTCAGAGTAATCTGTATTTTTGTATGTGATTTCTACTTTTATAGACCTGTTTTAAAATAAAACACATTTTTATAAAAATGAGTACTTCCGCTAAGTTGTATTCCTTTGTTCTTTTTTTCTTAAGTACTGTGGTTAAAATTAGAAAGCACTTGGTATGGTGTGCCTTTGGTATGTATGGTGTGCCCTTGGTCCCAGCCCTCTAGTTAAAGACCTACAAAACTAGCCCTAAAATGGTCTTCTTTGTTCCATCCACTTCATATGGATTTAATTTGACACAAAAAGTCAAATTAAAATGATAGTGTGTAATGCTTTCTGAGAAGGTGCTAAGTACAGACTTACTCTTATCTTTAAAGTGCTTCTAAAATAGTAATATTTATAAAACATTTGAAATGAGGGTGATACTAATAAAAGGCAGCTGGTAGCACTTTTTAAATACAGACTGGACCAACTTTCACTGTATATTTTACTCCCGTTAGGAAGCTGTTTGACTAGATCACTCTGGACCTAAGAGGTCTTGGGAATTCAATTCCCTTTGAACCATCCATTCAAATGGTAGAATAGTGATTCTTGCTGAACATCACCCTTTTTTTTTGCTGCTTTTTGTTATGCTCTTTATCACTACTACAATTCCTTCTTTAATTATGAAAAATGTCAAATACGTGCAAAAATTTATGATGAACCTCATCATTCACTTTTGTCATTAACTTATGATCCTATCTCATTTTATCCATCATCGCAACCCCCCACTCACACCCACACCCGCACAAATTACTTTGAAGCAGAATTTATAAATATTTTAGTATATACATCTGAAAGAGATTCTCCTGAATTCTGAAGCATAAATATCAAGATGCTGTTGGAAATTCCCTAGTTGGTCTCCAGTGCTTTCCTTACACGGCTTTGTTTGATGAGGCTCCAGACGTCCGGCGTGATCCACACCTGCATTTGATTGGCACTCTCATAAGTCTCTTAATCTTTGAGTTCTGCAAACCGCCCCCCCCCGCCGGCTTTTTACCTTACAGTTTATTTATTGAAAAAAACGAGGTTGTCCTGTGTTCTACATTCTGACTTTTGTTGATGTGATTCCTGGAGTGACATATAACAGGTTAATCTGTCCCCTACTTCCAGATTCAGCAGCAAAAAGCCCTAGACCAAGGGTGATTTTTGCCACCCAGGAGACATTTGGTAATATCTGAAAACATTTTTGGTTGTCACAAGCAGAGAGGTGCTGTTGGCATCTAGCTGGCAGAGGCTATGGGTGCTACTAACTAACCATCTTACAATATATAGGACAGCTCCCCACCACAAAGTAGTATCTGGTTCAAAATGTCAGCAGTGCCGGGGTTATGAAACCCTGATCCCAAGGCTGATCTTACAAGTTCTGTTTTTAGCGAATCGATTCTTGCTAGGTGGTATCATGCTCTTCCATCAGGAGGCACGTAACATCTGGCTGTCATTCTTTTTATGTTTCTAACACCTGTCTGTGGCCCTTGATTCCTCCCTCTCCTACACCCACAAGTTCCGGAGATCTGAATTTCTGGATAAAGTAACTTGTATCCCTTCCGTTCTGGTGAACTTGATTTCAGTCCAACGTTTACTGAAGATCTACAATGTGGAAGATGCTGTGTTTGAGCGACAGCACCTGGGACAGTGCAGAGCATCTGAGGAAGGGCATGAAGTAACCCAGAGACTAGGAAAACTAGAAAGAAACCCCTTTCCACTGGATACCCTAACCCTGCCTGGAACAAACAAAAAGGCAGCTCCTCTTGTTAACACTCCTCTCCCTTTCCTAAACTAGCCGAATATCCAAGGAAGTCAAAAAAAGACTCTTTATCATGAGGCCAACTCTTTGTGATACGGGTTGAAGCTCTAGACGGGCGATATTTTACTCTGACACTGCATTTAAAGTGGATAATCTACAATAACCCATTTAAAATCCTCACAGAATCATTTAAAAGATTAATACAATGACTTTTGGAAGAATCATTCCACGAAGAGAAAAGATGTGAAGAGAAGATCTGAGGCAGGAGGAAATAGCTGTATAATAAAGTGTAATTACCAAAGATATTTTAAATAGATTATTTTCTGGTGAAAGCCAAGAAGAACCAGCCTAGTATGACAGCGTCATTTAAGCCCTCTTCATCCATTCGAAGAAAGTAACTGTGGGGAAATAAACAGCATTTGTAGTTGGGGGAAATGTCTATTTAGAAGAAGAGTTTGTAAAAACCTGGTTCTCAGATACTTTCCTACTTACTTCAAATATCCATCTATCATATCCCCCCCCCCACACACACACACCATAAGGAAAGAATGTTAAATTTCAGTATGTTAAAACTATTGTTTATTATTGTAATTAGCAGTTTCTTCCCTAGCTCTGTCAGTCTTTACTCATTGTGCAAAGGTACAGATGAGAACTCATTGTCCCCACTCCTGAGGAACTCACAATCAACTGGTATCAAAAGCTGTATCTTACTCAGATCTCTTCAACAGTTTTTTCAGGATCTCTAATTTTGATTTTATTTTTTTAGCTATTGATATTTGATTTCTAAAAGGAGAAATGGGGGCGCCTGGGTGGTTAAGCGTCCAACTCTTAGTTTCGGCTCAGGTCATGATCTCACAGAAGTGAGATCAAGCACTGCATCGGGCTCTGTGCTCAGTGTGGAGTCTGCTTGTGACTCCCTCTCCCTCTGCCCTTCCCGCCGTTCTTTCTCTCTCTCTGTCTCTCATAAATAAATAAATAAATAAATAAATAAATAAATAAATAAATAAATAAATCTTTTTTAAAAAAGAGAAATGAACGAAATTAGTTCTAACCCATGCCTTTACTATCCTATAAAATAATCAAATTAAAATATTCTTTTCTAATTTTCTCTTTAATTCCTCCTTATTTAGTCAGTAATTTTCTTGAAAATGTATCTTAAAACCCATGACACTTAAAAAAAATACTCTTCTGTTTTCCTGAATGTAGAATACTTAATAATCCTTCTTGTTGACTTATGCCCTAATCCCCTGATGCTTATTTTTAATGTTAAAGAATGCACTGCATTTGAAATAAACAATTCCTCCTTGTAGCTCAGCAATTCATCAGTATATTTACTCTTATCTCTTCCCTCTCATATATAGAATTCTTTTCATTATATCATATGTCACGTTATCCCTGGATTTTTTTTGCACAATTGTCTTGGTAGACACTATCCCTAAGTATAATGATGCACATATTACGGTACATTGGCACAATGGAGTGAATTTTTTAGTGATTTAAATCCTGAATTACCTCTTTTTGTTTTTAAGTCCTTTTTTAAACTGAAGTACAGTTGACATAAGTTCCAGATGTATAGCAGGCTGATTCAACAATTACACATTACAAGTGATCACCATGGTAAGTGTAGTCCCCATGGGTCACCATAGAACATTATTACAGTATTATTGAATAGTCAATAATATCCCTATGCCGTACTTTTCATCTCTATGACTTAATTGATAACAAAGTTCATACCTCTTAATCCCCTTCACCTATTTCGCCCAACCCCCATCCCTCCTCGCCTGTAGCAGCCTACCAGTTTGTTCTCTGTATTTGTGAGTCTCTGTTTTGTTTGGTCGTTTTCTTTTTTAGATTACACATTTAAGTGAAATCATATGGTACTTGTCATTCTCTGTCTGACTTCTTTTACTTGGCATAATACCCTTTAGGTCTGTCCATGTCACAAACGGCAAGATTTCATTTTTATAGGTAAATAATATTTCACTGTATACCACAGCTTTGCCCATTCATCTATTGATGGACACTTAGGTTGCTTCCGTATTTTGGCTATTGTAAATAATGCCGCAGTGAACATAAGGTTGCATATATCTTTTTGAATTAGTGTTTTTGTTTTCTTCAATAAATATTCAGAAGTGGAACTGCTGCATCATATGGCAGTTTTATTTTTAATGAGCCTACACATTCTTTTCCATAGTGGCTGCATCAATTTACATTCCCACCAACAGTGTACAAGGGTTCCCTTTTCTCCACATCCTTGCCAACACTTGTCTTTTTGAAAATAGCCACTCTGACAAGTGTGAGGTGATATATCATTGTGATTTTAATTTGCAGTTCCCTGATGATGAGTGATGTTGAGCATCTTTTCATGCGTCTTTTGACCATCTGTATGTCGTCTTTGGAAAAATGTCAGTTTGGGTCCTCTGCCTATTTTAATCAGATTATTTTTGGTATTGAGTTGTGTGAGTTCTTTATATATTTTGGATATTAGCCCCTTATCGGATATGTTATTTGCAAATTATCTTCTCCCATTTACTACTTTTTTTTTTGACAGTTTCCTTTGTTGTACAAAAGCTTTTGATTTTGATGTAGTTCCATTTGTTTATTT